GCCGGCAGGAGGAGGCTGGCAGACAGGGACCTCGCGAGCAGAGCCAAGAGTGAGCACGAGACTCCCAGGGCAGCGACCCTAGTGCCTCCAATCAACTGGCCTGGAGCCCTGTGTGGAGATGGATTCTGAGGATCAGAACGACAGAGCAGCTCCATCAGCCAACAGTACCCATGAGGGATGCTCCCACCCTCTCCATCACAAGCGCAGCTCTTCTGAACTGCCTGGTGACCTCAGATGTCCTCCACTTTGCAGAAGGCTCCTGCGTGTACACACAGTGGGAAAACCAGCAATGCCCAAAGCTGGTCCCCCCACTGCAGGAAGTCACCCCTCAAGGCTGAGAAGTGACCGAATCCTACACGGGTCTCGGAGCCCCTGGAGCAGAACTCATCCAGCAGGGACGTGTCAGCTCCCAGGAGAGGAGCCCCCGTGAATGTGACCTACTGCAGGTTTGCGAGGGTGAAGAGGACCAATGTTCCTCCCGGCCGCTTCAAGGGCAGAGGCAGGCAGAGCAACAATGACGTCACGATCGCCACGCCCAAGAAAAGCAGGCTCCCCTCCTCACACACCCATCGCCAGCCCAGTGGGCAGAGAGCAGGAGGGAGAGAGCACTGGGTGGAGCGGCCACACCACCTGCCCGGCACCCTGTTTTCCAAACAGCTACCGTCTGTCCCAGAGTCCACGTGCCTGGGCGCCGTACAGCCTGTATCCCATTTAGCCCACCAGCTAAATTTAGCATCAGCTCAATCGCAGAAAACGGGGACACCGAGGGGTGGATACACGACGGTGAGCGGTGAGCGGGCCCCTTTCCCAGGTTCCCCGGCCGGGAAAACCCAGGCCGGAGTGAAGGAGAGCCAAGAGTACACAGAGTTAGCCGTGTCGGCCAGACCAGAATCACCACGACGTCCTGTAACGGATAGCAAACGGCATAACAAATAACTATGTGCAGCTTTATTTAATGACACAAAAGACACCCATGATGCAGTGTTAACTCAAAACAATCAGAGCACAAAGCCATTCGATAACTCCAGCCTGGATGTGCTGGCCATGCCGCCGGTGGAGCCAAGGGGATTCGCACTTGAAAACAGCTTGAGGCGTAGAGTCTAAATTTTTTTTTTAATACTTATTTAGTTAGTTGCGGCATGCGAACTCCTAGTTGCGGCATGTGGGATCCAGCTCCCCGACCAGGGATCGAACCCGGGCCCCCTACATTGGGAGCGCGGAGTCTCAGCCACTGGACCACCAGGGAAGTCCCTGAATTTTTAGATACTATAAACACCAGGGAGGGGAAAACCTTAGCTAGGATTCCTCCTGGGACACTCAACAGCAAACCACAAGGACAGGGGACCACCACGAGGACTGTCCGGCAGGGTGGCCGGAGCCCTGTGACTCCGGAGACCCCCTGGCGATGGCACTTCTGTAAATCTGTGACCAGCTGGGCCTCCTCGTGGCCATGTCCCGCCACCCGAGGGACATGGAAAGCTGGGAGAGGAAAGCTGCGACGCTCTAGGCCGTGCCTCAAAGAGGCGGCCACCCTCAGCGCTCCGCCAGGGACACCGCTGACATGAGCGGATTTCCGCTCCAGAGGCTCTAAGCGCTTCACGCCCCTAGCGACCTGCTCAGCTCACATCTCCCCGCAGGAAGCACCGCTCCAGGCCTGCACTCCAATCCTGGGCACTTATCTAAGTGCTAGCTGGACCAACCATCAAACTCCAGGACCCACCCACTAGGGGAAGGCGGGGGCTGGTTTGCGGGGAGCAGCAGAGGCAAGGCCACACGCCTTCCGCAAAGGCCCCTGACGGAGGGCAAAGGGCGGGGAGCGCTGCCCCGGAAGGAGGGAAAATTGCTTTAAACCCTCTGCCTTTTAATCCCCACAACCACTCGAGCAACTGCTGCCCCTAAATGCAAACAAAGCGCAGAGACACAGGAAACTCAGTTAAATTTGTCTCAGTTCACAGAAACAAAGTGGAATGCAGGTCCCGTTGTGAATGTGCTCAACGCCACTGAACTGCACACCTTGAAACGTCTAAAATAATAAACTTTAGGTTATGTGTATTAAAAGGTCTTCAAAAAATACCATCTCCTCTTATTAAGAAAAATAGACCTTGGCATCTCAAAGGACGTCAGCAGAGCTGGCCAGCGGGTGCACAGCCATCAGCCCTCACTACGGTTGACTCCAGATGAGCCATCTGAGGTCAACCTAAGACAGAGGTAAGTGACCTGATATCAGGGAACTGCAGTCAATTATTCGGAGACATAAGTTCCACCCCCTCCCCGACTTCTCCCATGTGAGCTGGAAGGCTCAGAAATCCCAAGGGTCTCTGCACTTGACATCAGCGGCCCTCACACAGGCCGCCTTGGACCAGGAGAAGTTCCAGAGCACTGCAGAGGCACACAGGTGAGAGAAGTCATAGAATATGGAGGAGCCCGCCTGAGTGGACCCTGCGGACACCACCTCACTGAACTGCTTCCCTACAGATCTCAGGCAAAGCCAAGTCACCACCTCGTGCTGGACAGACAGTAAATACTCACTTGACCAAAGGTATCTGGCACCTCGCTCAGTTAACACCCAGCGGGACCTGCGTTTACAGGAAGTCTTTGAACCTTCTGCACACGCAGCGGTCAAGTTCACGTCTGGCAGTCTCCAGGGGGATTCCCCATAGCCATCACTCAAAGCCCACGGAGCTGTATTTTGCACACAAACCAAGAGGCTTTGCTGCCTAGGTTCTCAGACCAAGGTACAGGAGAGGTGGCAGATTTAAGAGGAAGCTTAGGGTATACGGGGGCCAGTGCGGGATGGCATTAAACCCGCAGCCGTAACCTGAATCAACAGTGAACACGGTGGGCAGGGAAAGCCGCGAGGACAGAAGCAGCCTCAGGACTCGAGGCCAGGGGCCCACGACAGGCGCCAGCACAGGTGGCCGCAGCACAGGCTCGCTGGTCCCAAGTCCCCCACCCCCTCCCGAAAGGAACCCCACAGTAGAGTCCCCAAGGGATGTGAAGAGATGGTCACAAACGAGGAGACGATACCGGGCAATTAGCACATCAAGCGATGCTCCTTGGAAACAGACGCGACACAAGCTCACACGGCAGGAGGACACGCTCACCCGGCAGCCCCGGGAGAGTCTGGCAGTGTCTCGCATGAGCAAGGACGTGGGCCAAGAACACTCACGCCCACAGGGAAGCCGGGCTTAGGAGAACCGTCCTGGAGAGCAAGCAACTGGGCAATCTCCCGAACACACCCTACAGTGCCGCTTCTAGGGACCTGCGCAGCTGCACCCAGGGAAGCCCGCACGAGGATATTCACTAGAGCAGAGAAACAATGGAAACCACCAGGATCTCCCTCAACAGAACAGACACACGGCGTGATGAATCCGCTTGGGGGGCTGCCACACACAGCACTTAGCAGGAACACACTAGCTCCACGGGAGCCACACATGGCAGATCTCAAAACAATGTTGGGTGGACAACACAGGCTGCACACCCAGATGCAACATTACACATTCAGGGACGCTGGGAACACAGGGAAACAAAACACTGTGCTTCTCATGGATACTTGGATGGACTTCTAAAATTTAAAAAGTAAACTCATACTGGAGGTTCAGGGAGCCAAACTGGCTTTATTTTAATCAATATATGATGATCCTTTATTTCTATCTTTTAAGTCTCTCAAATGTCAAAGCAATACAGAAAAAGCCAGACGCAAAGGACAAACGCTATATGGTTATACTTATAGGAGGTCCCTGGAGTAGAGACAGGAAGTAGAAGGGTGGGCGCCAGGGGCTGGGGGAGGGGGAGGGGGGTTTAATGTTTAATGGGGACAGAGTTTCAGTTCGGAATGGTGAAAACACTTAAAATGGAAAAAAACCAAAACAGTTAAAATGGTAAATTTTGTTATGCGTACTTTACCATGATTTCTTTTTAACACAGTGCTGTAAAAAGAATGAGCAACAGCTGGATGAACTGAGAATGAGCGATTTCCAAGATACATTATTAAGTGAAAAAGCAAACTGAGTATAAGAAAGGGGATCGGGAAAACATTTGTGTACCTGCTAATCCTACAAAAGAAACATAGGAAGGGTAACTGAGAACCGGGAACATTTGTCTCTGGGTACGGGGGGGTGGGGACAATGCGGGGGGGTGGGGACAGGAGGAGGCTGAGGGGTGGCCCTCACAAGAGCTCTGACCCTCCGACTTCAGTAAGGCTTCGAACACCAGAAAAACAAGGAAGCAAGCCACGCAGGACGTGGGGTGAACGCAAAGTGGAGTCCGAGGCAGTGGGAGCGAGGAACATGGCCAGGCTGAGGGAGACGGGAAGAGGCCGGCCCCAGGTCATTCGAAGACGGTGTTTGATGGGGCGACCCAGGTGCCACCCCCCAGGAGCAGAGCAGCTGCCCCACGCGCACACCGGGGGGACGGGACAAATCAGCAAACCCAGCTCAGGGAATGGAGAGCCAGGCCGTCTGCTGCTGGAGGGAGAGGCTGCGAGGAAGGAGGGGGCGAAGTGTGATGCGCCCTTGATGCAGGGTTGGAATCAGAGGTGCAGGATGAACGCGCTGTTTTCAACAGAAACGCGGACACCTGGCCACTGCCCTCCACGTGTCGAGGTCACGAAAGCCAGGGAGAGGCTGCGCCCGTCACAGCCTAGAAGGCCGAGGAGACCAGGCATGGCGAGGGCTCTGAAGCAAGTCCCGCACAGAACAAGGACGAGATGGGGAAGCGGACGGGATGCTAAGGGCTGCAGGTGACTCGCAGCACCACGCACATTCCCGCCTCTGACAGCTGTGCCAGGGGAACACGTGAGGGGCTGGATGGGGAAGAGGGTCCTGTCACGCGCGAGGGAGAGGGGCTCCCACTAGGCAGAACGCTGAGCCCGGGGCAGAGAAAAGGCCAGGGGGCTCACTGCATCACCGCCCAGCACTCTCTAACTCCGAGAAACAACCTCTGGCCCCCAGGGAAGCCTAGGGAGGAACAGCGCCCGAGCCCCCATGACGCGCACTCACCTGCGGAGGAGGGACTGCTGCAGGCTCCGGCAGGTGCTGAGCGACTCGCCGGTGAACAGGTGGCACACGACCACGTGCAGACAGCGCGCCATGAAGGCCAGCACAGCCTCGGGCTGTAAGGTGCCACTGCGGGACACCAGGCACAGGCGCTGCAACGCAGAGCACTGGCTCAGCGCCTGGAAGAACTGGGCGTTGGCGCTGAAGTAGGGCTGCTCCAGCCTGCAGGGAGAGAGGACGGACAGCGTGAGATCACGGAGGCGGACGCACGCTGAGCGGGGCTCCTGGTCCAGGGCCCAGACTGGCTGCCCCCAGGCCCATCCACACCACAGCCCCCAGGGGTGCCGGGTGAGGACTCAGACCCCTGGGGTCTCCCTTGGTGATCCTGATCTCGGGGGAGACCCTGCAGGCCCGATGCAACCAGATGCCCACAGACCCAGCCAAGTTGCTTCGTTCACCGCTCTGACTGCTCGGTGCGCCTACAGACCCAGAAGAGCGCATGGCAATTGAATCGTGTCCCCCAAAAGATCTGTTGCATTCCTAATCCTTGGTACCTGCACACGTGGCCTTATTTGGAAGCAGGGTCTTTGCAGACTAAGATGAAATCACGTGGGACTGGGGTGGGTCCAGTGACCGGTTCCTTAGACGCATTGTGACGGCACAGCAACACAGGAACACGAAGGGAGCTCGGGGCTGGAGTGACACGTCCACAAGCCAAGGAACCCCTCGCGCTGCCAGCAGCCGCCGGAAGCTAGGGGACAGGCCTGGAACAGGCCCCCACCCAGAGCTTCCAGAAGGAACCATCCTGCCGACACCTTGACCGGGGACTTCTGACCTCTTAACTATGAGAGGGTGACTGTCTGTTGTTTTAAGCCACCTGGTTGGTGGTCATTTGTCAGGGCAGCCCCAGGACACTAGCACAGAAGCCAGGGAGAGGAAGCTGGAGCATGAACAGAGCACAGAGATCGTTTCGCAATAAATCACACAGAAAGACCAAGACGGCCCCATGGACAGAGGTCAAAGTGGATCTTGTTTACCCAAAATCTTCCCACAAGAAAACCTATTAACAAGGGTTATCCCTGGAGATCAGCACCAGACTCGGGAACCGTCCTTATTTTATAGCACTCAGCGGTACCTCGGTCCTTCTCAGACAGGTACGTGCCTCACTTGACGCTTTTAAAACCATTCTGACTGCTGCGCAGAGTCCCGGTTACCCGGCCAGCGCCGCTTCAAGGCTGGCGGCACGAGCGGGAGAGGCCAGGCAGAGATTTCCACCCAAAGCAGGCAGAAGGCACACAGGCACCGCAGCGGGCGGGAGAAGGGCTTCACGGATGATGGAGATCTGGGCACATGTGCAGGAAACTGCAGTTCAGGGGCTACATCTGAACCCGATGGCTGAAAAGGAGGACACTTCAAAGGGTGGCCACTGGGCACCCAGCAAGGCTCTCTCTCAACGAGCCACGAAGGCCTCTGATGGACATCGTGCCAGCCACGTGGGGCCTCAGCCCTCCGAGCAAGCCGGCCAGCCCGGGAGGACAGTGCTCTGCCAGGCTGTGCCCGAGCTGTGGAAACAGTGCCTCAGGTCGGGGTGACGCTGTCCCCTGAGGCTGGCCACCCCCAAGGCCCAGGCACTGCACAAGTCACTCCCTGCACAAACACGGCGTCTTGCCCGGGACTGTGGGTCTCTCTGAGCCTCAGCTCTGCCCACGGGACAGCCACTGACCCTCCAGGTGGGCCGGGGCAGCTGGCAAGACCCCCATCTCCGTGCGAGACCCACAGGGAACCCCGAGAGGCCTGTCTCTCCCCGTAAACTGACGAGGCCGAGTGGGTGACTTCCTGGGACGCCCCTGAGAGGCTCGTCTGCAGCTGTAGAATCTCATCATCAAAGGAGAGAAGCTTCTGGGGTGAGTGGAAAGGCCCTCCCCCATCCCCGAGAGGCGGTGGGCCTGCAGTGGGGACAGAGTCACCACCACCACCGCCCCCCGCCAGGCGGAAGAAGAGCCCAAGCGCTCTGGACGCAGCGACGCCCCAGGTGAGGCTGACCTGGGCGAGGGTGAGGGGCCGTCCACGGGCCCAAACGAGAGCCACGTGAGCCTCGGACACGGCCGCCACAGCCCTGACACCTGGGGACACTGACAAGTCACAGGACGGGTGAGGGGTTTTAAAATCAAGTCTGCGGGGCTTCCCTGGTGGCACAGTGGTTGAGAATCTGCCTGCTAACGCAGGGGACACAGGTTCGAGCCCTGGTCTGGGAGGATCCCACATGCCGCGGGGCAACTAGGCCCGTGAGCCACAACTACTGAGCCTGCGCGTCTGGAGCCTGTGCGCCACAACAAGAGAGGCCGCGATAGTGAAGAGGCCTGCGCACCGCGATGAAGAGTGGCCCCCACTTGCCACAACTAGAGAAAGCCCTCGCACAGAAATGAAGACCCAACACAGCCAAAAATAAATATAAAAATAAATAAAAGATTACTATTAATTAAAAAAAAAAATCAAGTCTGCGGTGACGGCACGTCTGTTCGGAGCCATCCTGTACGGGAGCCACCAGTCACTGAAATGCAGCAGTGAGACTGCGTTTTTAATTACACGTAAGCAGAAGTTCTAGCATGCTCCTAAAACTGTGGGGGGAACGCAGGTCTCTCTGGGGTATGATTCTGAAAAGCCTCACCCCGTCGAGGGTTCCGGGCGCAGCAGGAAGGAAGCCCCAGGCAGGGCTGCTCAGGCACAAACACCAGGGAAAGGGCTCCCCAAGGGCTGCAGTGCTCAGCGATGCCTCACCCGCCTGACGCCACTGAATGAATTTCATCCCTAAAGAAACCGGGAAGAAGTGAGGGAGCCGCGAGCCGGGCCTCTCAGAGCTGTGGGCCACGGACCCGGACCCGAGCCCCCGAACCCCCGGGCCCAGAGAGTAAGCAAGTGCATCTCGCCCACGGGTGTGAATGTTCCGAGAAGCTTATGTCTCTTAAGAAAATGTCTGAACATATTATTTGGTTCTATCTTTTTAAAAGATCCTAAGGTAAGCATACTGTGCAGACCTGAAAGTGCGAAAACTGGAGGGGGGCGAAAAGCCCTGACCCGCGAGTCGTCCCTGCAGCAGTGAGGAAGCTGGACCGCGGGCGGCGGGAAGGACAGGCCTGCGGCACCTCGGTCACTAGGTGGCGATGCGGGTCTGCGCTACCTGCTGGGGATCTCAAGCAGACAGAGGGGAGAGACAGAGGGAGCTGCGTACTACACGCTTTTGAACCTTTTTTTTCGGCCTGCCAGCCACTCCAGATTCCTCCCCCTGAAGGAAGCCCCCATCACGGGTGCTCAGGGCGGGCAGGCCTGGTGGGGCGGGCGAGGCTGGCACATCCACACCATGCCCCACTCCTCCGGGCGGTGGGCTGGCAGAGCTAACCTGACTCGAGTGACGGGCAGTGTCTTTGCTCAGGGCAGAGGAAGAGGGGCACCTCTGTGACTGGCTTCGCCCTGGGGGGTGGGCCTCAGCCTTCCGACCTCGAAGGGTCTGGCCTCCGACGCTTGCTCTCCGAGAGGCTCTGTGGGCACAGACCGGCGCTCGGGCCGCCCCTCATCTGCCTGCCCACCTCTCAGGCGCCCCTCCGAGCAGCGCCCAGGCCTGGAGGGTGGCCCTGGCATAGCCTCCAGGGCCTGGCTCCAAGAAGCCCTCTCACTTACGCCCAGACGCTGCCCCAGTTCCAAGGTCAGGGGCAGCCCAGGGTGACTCAGGGTGATGTTCTCCCTTCCCCTCTCCACCACGCAGGGCTTCATCAGGTGCCCTGCTCTGCCTAGCTTGGCACCCTCCCACTGGCAAAGTACGCCACAAATCCAGAGCCTGCGAGGCCCCAGCGGGACGACGTGTTCCGGCAGGAGCGGCCCTGGCCCCAGCTGGCAAAGAGCTGCAGCTCACGGACCTCGCTGGTGGGGACGGCGGAGGCCAACCAGGGAAGTGCGGGAGCTGTCGGGGAGGCCGCCCTGGGAGCGGTGTGACAGGCAGGCACCATCTGCTTCTCTCCCTCCATCCCCCTGGGCTCCGCTTGCCACAGAAGGCAGGAATCCAGAGGAACGGGGCCATTTGGCCAAGTTCTAGAAACTGGTGTTTGTTCCGAACAGGCAGTACCCAGCTCCGATGAGGTGTGGGCGCAGCAGCCGCGTGCACAGAAAGCCCGTCGTGAGAGGCGGTCAGGTCCTCAGGTCGGCCCACAAAACCCACACTGCTCGCACGGCCCTGCCCCGGGGCGAGGTCTGGGCCACAGGGGTCACGTCTGAGGCCCCGGAAGTCACTTGGTGACCACTAAACGCCGGGTTACCCCCATTTGACATCCAGCGACCCCACGAGACAGGACCCGCTCCCAGCTGCCCACAGACCAGCCGTGTCTCCTGAGCCAGTTCATTAGCCTTCTGGGCCCCACTTTCCTCATCTGTACAATGGGGCGATAGTATCGACACGCCCGAGGTTGTTAAAACGTCAAAGACCTGCAAGCACGGGGAGAGCACGTGGCAGACGTGCAAATACAAGCCAATGGGGCAGCCACGGTCTGCAGCAGCCTAAAGGGCAGTCTCTCCCTTCAGCTTCCAGAACATCCCCACCCCCACCTCCTCTCCCGGACAGCTCCTACCAAGTCCTCATCCTCCTGACCAGATCCTGTTGGGCGGTCTCTCCAGTGCAAGCGCAAGCTGGCGGACCTGGGAGATGGTCCCCCTCCCTGGGGGTTGGGGGGGAGGGCCGGGGGGGGGGTCCAGGCTTCTCCAACCCACACGCGTGCAGCCGCACCCCTGCCTTCCTCTCTCAGCCACGTGGCAGCCACGTCAGCTCAACGGCTCAGGCCAGAAGCCCTGGAGCCGCCTGGACCCCCCAGCCTCAGCGCCCATCCCATGCACCCAGTCAATCAGCGGCTTCCCCGTGAAGTCAGAAGCTGGCTATTCCTGGCCATGCCCCAACCCCTGCTCTCGCCTGGCTGCTCCCTGCATGTCTGACGTGCCCCTGACGGTGGCCCTGCCGCTGCCCCCAGGCCACTTGCGGCACAGCAGCGAGACCTGCCCTGCTTCCATTCTGGCTCCTGAGACCCTGGCACACCCATCTCGGGCCCTGCGCTCTCAGCTCTGTCCAACAGAACCTTCTGGGCAGAGGGGAGTGTCTGTATGTGCTCTGTCCAGCACAGTGGCCACCAGCACACGTGGTTACTAAGCACCTGAGACGTGGCTGATGCCACCAAGGAACTCGATGCTTGGTTTTATCTCATTTTAGTTCATGTAAACGTAAGTCACCCTGTGGGTCGTGGATACCGTACCAGCTGATGTGACTCTACCTGCCTGGCCCGGAGCACTCTTCCCCCAGGTTCTGCTTTCTAACTCACCTCCCTGGGTTCTCTGCTCAAAGCTCACCTCCTTCATGAAATGTACCCCAAATGCCACCCCCGCACCCAGGCATCCGTCGCCCTGCTCTGCTTCTCCTCCCCGGCGTTTGTTACCGTCTAACATACCGTACGCTTCCTTTACCTTGACTGTTGGTCTGTTTTCCCCACTAGAACGTAAGCTCCCCGAGGACAAGGATCTTTGTTTTGTTCAGTGTCCTGGGTGCCTGGAACAGTGCCTGGCATAAGAGGTGCTCATGTATTTGCTGAATGGATGAAGAACCATAACGTGTATTATAAGTGCCACGTCCTGTTCTAAGTGTCTTATAAGGATGAATCCCTTTGGTCTGAACAGCCCCACTTTACTGAACAAGGACCTGGGCACAGACAGTCCAAGGTCCACCCAGGCCTTCTGACTCTGAGGCCCCTGCCGTGGGTCCTGCCTGCCTCCACCCAAGGCTAGGGTCTATCTCCTGGACGAGGAGATGCAGGGACATGGAACCAGCTTGGACGCCACGCCCACTCCTCACTCCTCCAGGCAGAGCAGCCCTGAAGGGGCCAAGCACAGGCCTCGTGCAGGGAATCCAGCAGCCCGGGTGAGCTGGGAGCACCTGCCATCTCCAGGTGGCCATGCAGGCAGCAGACATCTGATATGACACTGTGGGACTTCCCTGGTGGCGCAGTGGTTAAGAATCCGTCTGCCAATGCAGGGGACACGGGCTTGAGCCCTGGTCCGGGAAGATCTCACATGCCGTGGAGCAACTAAGCCCATGCGTCACAACTACTGAGCTTGCGCTCTAGAGCCCACGAGCCACAACTACTGAGCCCGCGCGCCACAACTACTGAAGCCTGCACGCTTAGAGCCCGTACTCCGCAACAAGAGAAGCCACCGCAATGAGAAGCCCGCACACCGCGACGAAGAGTAGCCCCCGCTTGCTGCAACTAGAAAGAAAGCCTGTGCACAGCAATGAAGACCCAACGCAGCCAAAATTAATTAGTTAATTAATTTTAAAATATGACACTGTGGACATGAGGCAGAAAGGACGTTGGAGAGAGAAGGCCAGTTTTCATTACCTGCCTTGAAGCACTGTGACTTTTTATTTTATCTTATTTTTATTTTTTTGGCCGCATCGCGCAGGCACATGGGATCTTAGTTCCTCAACCAGGGATTGAACCCGCACCCCCTGCAGTGGAAGCGTAGAGTCTTAACCACTGGACCACCAGGGAAGTCCCGTGACTTTTTAAACTACGTGAATGTATGAGTTTATTTTACTTTCACTGATTTCTCTATTGATCAAACACTCCTCAATAACGGGCACGTGGTTTGACCACAGCGTGGTTAGAAAAGGCGCCAAGTTTAAGAGGGTAGCAAGAAAGCCAAAACACTGAGGACAAAAATGACAGATCCAGAAATACTCTGGCTCTGAGTTTAGTTAAATTAGAACTCAAATGCTCCCTCAGGCTCCCCGAACTAAGGGACATTCAATTCCTGATCACGAGAATCCAACAGGGTAACAGGACAGCAGACCTGGTGGTTTTTCGTCTGTTGGATGTATTTTGTGGTCCACCTGCAGCTTCAATTTACGCATGGCCCACTGACCACTCACTTCACAACTGTCCTTCTGGAAAGGCCACTGATGTGACAGTGAAGGCACGGGAGGGGACAAGGTGGGAGGAGGCACTGGATGGAGATGAACCAGTGAAAAGGGAGGGAGCTGAGAGCGATCTGGGCAAGAGGGGCAGCATCGTCTGAGATGGCAGCCAGGCTCACCCTGTGAAGGGCGAGGGGCAGGGGCTGCGGCCAGGGCCCCTCCCCACTCACTCACAGGTGGCGCCCCGCCCCACAGGGCAGGAGGGGGCCAAGCCACGTGGGAGGCCAGGCTTGGACCCCGGACCGCAGCCCTCACGCTGGCAGGGACTGGGCAGGGGGCCCGCAGCGTGTGTTGCCCTGGGGGCGGCAGGCAGCCTGGCAGAGAAGCTCTGGGAGGCTCCAGGGCCGGGGCAGCAAAGCTCCACCTCAAATCCGGTTCATTTCCTGCCTTCTACGGGGAGAGTGGAGGTCCGAAAAGGACACGCTTGTCTCCATTTTGTGTGGCTCGGGGGCCCAGGTCGAGCACTGGACTTCGATGACCCGGGCGGACCTCAGCTCCTCCCTCAGGCGTCCGCTGCCTCTCCATGAAGCAGGAACGACGAAGGGCCTAGTGAGGAGATCAAGCCAGACAGCGCCACAGAGCCCCCAGCCTGGTGCCCGGCCCGTAGCGAAGACACACAGTGAGTGCTCACTGGTGCGGCGATGACGACACGCGCGCATCCCCGTGCCCCGATGCCGCCCTCACCCGGCTGCCCCACCAGCTCCAGCCTCATGGAGACCAAGCCCAGCGGCCACTCCCTCCCCCACCCGAAGCCCTCGCAGAGCTGAGGCCTGAGGCCACCACGACGTTTAGGAAACTGCAGTTTTTCAAGATCAGATCTGTAGACATTTTCAAATCCGGCTCAGGTTAACAAAGGCTGGCCTTCTAAATGCTGGGCCCTCACGAGAACAGCCTTCACTCTACAGCATGAGTCGCCGGGGATCATTCCACGTCGGGGCCCAGGAAATCGCCAGTGGCCCTCCAACAACTGCCTGGGTGGGGGAAGCCCTGCCGAGGTCCGTGGGTCCCACCACCCCGCACTCTCCAGGGGCGGCCCCTCAGGTCAGCCCGGCCGTCCTGCTCCGGGCACCGCCTTCTGAGCCCGCCTCTCCGTCTCCCCTCCCCCGGCCTGGCCCCTCCAGTCCAGGTGGGAGGCCAGAGGGACGTCTCCAAACTGGAACCCAGACCCCTCCCTCTGCGGGCTGAAGTCCTTCAGCACCTTCACCTCACCTGATGCCCCCGTGCCCCCGATCAGAATCATCTGGCTTCAGAGCACGCTGCTTGTTTGTAAGCCTCTGGGGCTTCTACACACGCTGCCTTCTTTCCCGGAAAGCCTTGCGCCTGCATCTCCTGGCTAACCCCGACTCATCCTTCAAGAGTCGCAAAGCTAGGCTCCACTCCCGGCCCCCCACTTACCAGCTCCGTCATCTGGCAAGAACTGCGTCCACCTCGTGGGACGGGCACGAGGATTAATAAGATCACGTACGCAGCAGCGTCCCAGAGCCCAGGCACTGAAACAGCCACAGGCAACGAGGACGATGTGCCAGGCTCGGGCGGCCCTGCCTCCTGCACACCCTCCCTGGGCGCCACCAACTGCCACTTCCCGAGCCTCCGCGCCCCCTGAGCCCCACCACTGCGCACAGTCCCTTGTCAGCACCCCCCCAAGACTCTCAGCCCCTGGAGGACAGGCCTGCACCCCGCTCGCCTCAGCAGGTGCGCAGCGGGTACGCCAACATCTGCCGAGCAGAAGGCCGTGCGCCCCTAAGGCCTCCCCACAGGGCCGGCAGAGGCCACGGCGGGGCGGCCGGGTGCCCTCACCTGAGGTCCTTCAGCCGCTTGCAGTGCTTCAGCATGTCCGCGAGGGCGGAAGTGTAGGCCACCTTGCCCATCGTGCCCAGGTGGGCCAGGGACAGGGACTGGAGCTGCTGGCACTGGACGCCGATGCTGACCAGCCCGGAGCCTGTCAGGATGCTGGGCAGCTGGGCCAGCGTCAGGTGCCTCAGGAAGGCCAGCTGGCCGATGGCGGCCACCTCTGAGTCCCCCACGCTCTGTGCCCGGCCGCAGGGGGGGAGCGAGTTGCGGATGGCGGGCTCGTTGCGCGGCATGGCAGACGAGAAGTTGGACCCAATCAGCTCGAGGCGGTCCAGGAAGGGCACGCTCTTCAGCAGCGACCAGAACACAGAGGACGGCAGGGGGCCCGCCTGCCCGGAGAAAGGGTCGGGGCCGGACGGCACGCCGATGCGGACCTTCTTGCCGAAGCCGCGGGGCACAGCGTGCGTGGCAGGCTGGACGGGCGCGCGGTCGGCCCGTGGCGCCGAGTCAGCGACGGCGCAGACGGGCAGCGAGAGGGAGCGCAGGTGGCAGAGCCGTGCCAGCAGCTGGCACAGGTGCCGGCCGGGGCCCTCGGGGCTGTGGTGGTGGGCAGCCGAGAGGTTGAGGTGTCGCAGGTTGCCGCAGGCTGCCACCAGCGTCTCCAGGATGCCACTATCGATGTCGTCCTCTGCCTTGCGCAGCAGGGAGTCGGGCGCCAGGCAGTGCGCACAGCCGCTGAGGTTCAGGCCAGCCAGGCTCCGGAGGTCCCTGCCGCCATCGATGACGCGCCGGATCAGGTGGCCGCCGGACAGGGCACAGCGGCTGAAGCTGAAGTAGAAGGGGCTGCTGAACTTCATGTGCTGGAGGAGGGCCGAGCCGTTGAGCCAGGACTTGGGCAGCTGCAGCGCGTCCAGCGCCACGTTGCGGGCCATGGACTCCAGGAGGTTCTTGGTGGCCCCGCTCTCAGCAAAGCTGCCGGGCACGGAGATGAGGAAGGCGTGCAGGTTCTCGGGCGTGCGGTCGCTGAGCACAGCCAGGTAAAGGCGCACCACCTCCTGGTTGATGTAGCCGGGGGCCAGGCGGGCGTAGAAGACGCGCAGGTGCTGATAGCGTGGCACGTTGCTCTGGCCCACCATGAGCTGGCCCGAGAGCACGGCGCCCTCGCGCGTGCGGTCCAGGATCTCGAAGTACAGCAGCAGCTTCTCGAGGCTGGTGCAGCAGGGCACCACGCCGTACGAGGGCGTGTACAGCGTCTGCTTGAGCTCCCGCACACGGCTCAGCGTGGCCTTGCACTCACCGCTCAGCTGGCTGGCGTCGAAGCCGGGGCTCACGTCAATGGCCAGGGAGCGCAGGCGCTGCAGGGCCGACAGAACCTTGGAGAGGCGCAGGGAGGTCAGGTGGCAGCCCGAGAGGTTCACCTTCACCAGGCCGCGGCAGCGGGCCACGTGCTCCACCGTGCTGCCCGACAGCCAGTAGCAGCCGGCCATGCTGAGCTGCTGGATCTCCCAGCCGATCTCCGTCACCAGCTGCTTCACCTTGTCCTCGCTGGCCTGTGGGTGGGCAGAGGGGGGGAGAGAGGGGCTGCAGGCACCGGCGTCTCCTCCACCCTCGCCCCCCAGACCGCGCTCTCCACCGTGACAGTCAGGGAGCCGCGGGGGACACGGCAGAGGTCCCACTCCAGCTGAGGAGGGGCAATGAGGGCAGGGCTGGCGCCTCGCCCCCCCCGCCCCTGCATGCTTACCTTCCACCGACAGTCAGGAGCCTCAGCCAGGCGGGAATGGAAAATGGGGCAGCCCCTGTGGAAAAGTCTGGTGGCTCCTCCAAAAGCTAAACAGAGTTACCACGTGACCCACAATTCCACAGCCAGGTGTACACCCAAGGGGACTGAAAGCGGGGACTCAGACTCCTGCACACCCATGTCCACGGAGAACCGTTCACAACAACCGGAAGGTGGCAACAACCCAGCCGTCCATCAACGGATGAACAGGTAAAGGCAATGGGGTCCATCCATGCAGTGGAATTCTACTCGGCATGGAGAGGAATGAGATCCTGACGCTGCTACAGCATGAGTGAACCTTGAGGACATGATGCCCAAAGAAGCCAGTCATAAAGATCACATGTTGTATGATCCACTTATATGAAAGATCCAGAACAGGCAAAACCAGAAAGAGAAAGTAGAATAGAGGTCACCAGAGGCCTGGGCAAAGGGGACATGGGAGTTATTGCTTAATAGCTCCAGAGTTTCTGTTTAAGGCGATGAGAAAGTTTTGGAAAGAGTGATGATGGTTGCGTAACACTGTGAATGTACTTAGGGCTAACGAAATGGTACACTTAAAAGTGGTTAGGGGGGCTTCCCTGGTGGCGCAGTGGTTGAGAGTCCACCTGCCGATGCAAGGGACACGGGTTCGTGCCCCGGTCCGGGAAGATCCCACATGCCGCGGAGCGGCTGGGCCCGTGAGCCGTGGCCGCTGAGCCTGCGTGTCCGGAGCCTGTGCTCCGCAACCGGAGAGGCCACAGCAGTGAGAGGCCCGCGTACCGCAAAAAAAAAAAAAGTGGTTAGAGGACTTCCCTGGTGGTGCAGTGGTTAGGAATCCGCCTGCCAGTGCAGAGGACACAGGTTAGAGCCCTGGTCCGGGAAGATCCCACATGCCATGGAGCAACTAAGCCCGTGCGCCACAACTACTGAGCCCACGTGCCACAACTACTGAAGCCTGCGCACCTAAAGCCTGTGCTCCGCAACAAAAGAAGCCACTGCAATGAGAAGCCTGCACACAGCAACGAAGACCTAACATATCCAAAAAAAAAAAAAGTGGTTAGGGTGGGAAGTTTCATGTTAGGTGGGGTTTTTTGAAATCACATAGTGGAATCACACCCTGGAAGCGTTCTTTCGCTGTCACTTTCCTTTACGTCACATGCACTTTCATATCATTAAATGTTCCTCAAAAACCTGGCCTGGACGGCCTAGGGAGCCACAGTATGTCCAGGAGGGGGCCCAGTGGCCACCAAGGGCTTCGGACAACACAGCATCCATGTACATAAGGCTTGTGCACATGATCACTTCTCTACAGCAAATGTACACACACAGAACTGTGCAGACGAAGGACACACATTCTAAACGCTCCAGACAGACTGTGCACCTGCCCTTCCTCTACAGTAAAGAACCCTCGTGGGCAGGAAGCCTGACCTCAGTGCTTTGGGGAGTAAGTTCAGCTCTCCATCAGGGAGGAGCACAGTGCTCTCACAGAAAGAGACTGAGCTCTGGGTTTCAAAGGCATCACTGCCCAGCCAGCAACAGCAGTAGGAGCCCCTAAAATTTGAGTTAAGGGCAAGGCCTCTGTTTAACTTTAAAATAGGTCATCAACTGATTTTCCAGGTTGCAGGCAATTCGGCGAGGACAGGATAATCTTCTCAGTAAGTAGTGGTGGAAGGCGTGAATAGCTGTGTGCAGAACAGTGAGCCTCACCCTGACCTCACGGCATATGTGGAGATGAACACAAAAGGATCACAGACCTGCCATAAGAGCTAAACCTATAAACTTCTATAAGACAACATAGAAGGGTGCTGGGAATACTGGACAGCCACAGGCAAAAGAATGAAACTGGACCACTATCTACACCATACACCAAAATTAACCCAAAATGGATTAAACACTTGAATGTAAGACCAGGAACCATAAAGCTCCTAGAAGAAAATATAAGTAGTAATAAGCTCCCTGACATCAGTCTTAGTGATGATTTTTTGAAATCTGACACCAAAAACAATAGAAGCAAAAAGAAACAAGAGGAACTACATCACCTGAGCAGTTTCTGCACAGCAGAGGGAACCAGCAACAAAATGAAAGGCAGCCTATTAAATGGGAAAAGATATTGCAAATCATATATCTGATAAGGGGTTAATATCCGAAATATACAGAGAACTCATACAACTCAATAGCAAAGAAACACCCCTATTAAAAAAATAGATAGAGGGGCTTCCCTGGTGGCGCAGTGGTTAGGAATCCACCTGCCAGTGCAGAGGACACGGGTTCGAGCCCTGGTCTGGGAGATCCCACATGCCGCGGAGCAACTAAGCCCGCAAGCCACAACTATTAGCCTCTGTGCCACAACTACTGAAGCCCACGCGCCTAGAGCCTGTGCTCCGCAACAAGAGAAGCCTGTGCACCGTAATGAAGAGTAGCCCCTGCTCACCGCAACTAGAGAAAAGCCCGCGTGCAGCAACAAAGACCCAACACAGCCAAAAAAATAAATTAAAATTTTCTAAAAAGTTAAAAAGAAGAAAGAAGACAACATAGGAGAAAATCTTCATGACCTCAGGTTTCACAAAGATTTCTTCAACGGAATACAAAAAGCATGAACTCAAAAATTCAATAAATTGGACCTCACCAAAATTAAAAACTTATGCTCTTCAAAAGACACTATTAATCAAAATGAAACGGCAAGCCACAGACTGTAAGAGAAAATATTCACAACACATCCCACAAAGGACTTGTACCAGAATATATATGGAACTCCCAAAACTCACTAAGAAAAAGATAGACAATAATGAATGGGCAAAAGCCTTGCACAGACACTTCTGAGAAGATATACAAATGGCCCACGCACCTGAAGAAAGCATAATCGACAGCATCCTCCACCAGAGAATACAAGTTAAAACTACAATGAGATACCACCTCCCATGCATCACAATGGCTAAACTGAAAAGACTAACACCACCAAGTGTTGACGAGGATGCAGAGCAACCAGAACTCTCGGATGCCGCTGGTGGGGAGAGGTGGTGCCTCCAACTGTGCTTAACTCCACAGGAAAGCCCAACACTGACAGTGGGCCCGCACGTCCACTCCTGGGTACCTATCTACCAGGAAGTCAGTCTCCCTCCTGGCCCAGTGCCAAGGCCCAAGACCCTTCCAGAAGAGCGCCTGCTCTACCTGTGCTCTGGCCCAGATGGCACACTACCTGCACTTTTGGGCCCCTGACTTTTGCCGTATCATCCCTGCAAGTGCCCCATCACTGCCAGGCTGTGCGGGGCCTCAGTCGGGCACCTCGGTTGTTCCCCATCTCTGCCCCCAGCATGCCAAGCGCCACCCCCAAGCCCCTCACCTCATAGTCCTTCTGCAGCAGCACCGTGTGGGTGAGGCTCTTGTCCAGGCACAGCGCTGCGAGCTTCCGGCAGGTGCGCCGGACGTTCAGAATCAAGTCTATGCTGGGGACGTGGCTCAGGATGTGCAGGAGGATCTCATCCGAGAAGCCCAGGAGGTGGGCACCATCTGCCACCGCAGCCGCTGCAGGGGGTGCATCGCTGGATGTGTCCTGAAAACAAGGGGCATCAACTTCCATGGGATCCCCCAGGGTGGCCCTCAGGCAAGGGAAGCCTTCACCACAGTCCGTGGGGAAGAAGAGACTGTTACCAAAAATCTTAACTGCAGATTAAAGAGTCCCCAACATTCTTCGAAAGCCCCTTTCAATCTGCACACCAGGATCGCTCTTCAAAAGTGACAGATTTGAGAGCTTCCCTGGTGGCGCAGTGGTTGAGAGTCCGCCTGCCGATGCAGGGGACACGGGTTCGTGCCCCGGTCCGGGAAGATCCCACATGCCGCAAAGCAGCTGCGCCCGTGAGCCATGGCCGCTGAGCCTGCGCGTCCGGAGCCTGTGCTCCGCAATGGGAGAGGCCACAACAGTGAGAGGCCCGCGTATCGCAAAAAAAAAAAAAAAAAAAGTAACAGATTTGAAATTTAAGAGAGATTTTTCCTACTGAAGGTCTCCAGACAAGTCTGGCAGGTTTCCAACTCAACTCATGACCATCGGCAAGGTTGTCCATTTGTAAAAGCTGCTATTCTGCCCCCACCCTGCTCTGCCCCTAATGGCAGGCAGTATTCTTAAAACATCCTTGGGCCGGTGAATTCCATCAAGAAACAATGATAATTGGTCTTCACCAATAACAACAGTGCCTTCACCTCCCAGGGTTGCTCTGATGGGTAATGAGTTACCATTACGTGTATGATATGTGTATCAGCTCTTCAGGACAGCGCTGGATGCAAATGAGAGAATGAAACTATGAGGCCCTAATAAATAAGAAACAGCACCTACCAGACCAATGAATTTTTAAATCTCAAGATTCATAACAAACAATAGGAACTGCACAACTTCTCTCCACTTATCAGACTTCCTGGTTAGAAATCCACGTTGGGGGCTTCCCTGGTGGCGCAATGGTTGAGAATCTGCCTGCCAGTGCAGGGGACACGGGTTCGAGCCCTGGTCCAGGAAGATTTCACATGCCACGGAGCAACTAAGCCCGTGCACCACAGCTACTGAGCCTGCGCTCTAGAGCCCACGAGCCACAACTACTGAAGCCCCCGCACCTAGAGACTGTGCTCTGCAACAAAAGAAGCCACCACAATGAGAAGCCTGCGCACTGCAACAAAGAGTAGCCCCCGCTCACCGCAACTAGAGGAAGCCCGCGTGCAGCAATGAAGACCCAACACAGCCAAAAATAAAATAAATAAAAGAAAAAAAAAAGAAAGAAATCCATGTTGGTATTTCCAGTAAGATGTCCACTCATCTTACTGTTTCATTCTGCTTTTGCAAATATCTACAGAAGGTTTTCTGCCCTAATGTGGGCTTCCCGTCTTACTGACCAGTGCCTGTACAACCAAGACAAAGAGGGGATAGACCTATGTCAGTGTGCCGTGAAATCCCCAAATCAAGGCCAAAGGAACTGGGATGCTCTAAGAAAAGCCCATGGTGGGCAGGAATCCCTGTATCTTCCCAACACCTCCTGAAGGGCCCCTCCTGCCTTAAACGTCCTCACTGATGGGGTGCCTCTCTGACACTCCCAGGAGGGAGAGTATCCAGAACTATTTCTACTGCCTTTTCCAGTGATTCTTTCTACGAGCCCCGCCTCCTCTGTCCTGCCTCTTTTTCCATACATATTTGCATGGATGGAAGCCTCCAGGCTTGGAAAGCCCTGCTGCTGCCATGGCAACCGTTAAGTCCAGGGAGGAAGGGCCTGTCTGCACACCCCACACAGGCACCAGGGGTTTCCCGGGAGCTATGACTGCGACACCCCTCCAGCCTCTGCATCCGGCCGAGCCCTTGCCAGGACAGGAAAGGTTTCCCCGATTACTGCCCACCCTTTCAACAGCATCGGCCCCTCCCACTCACCCTTCTTCCTGAGAGGCTGTAGCCAGACTTGCCTTCCCTTCCCTCCTTCCTTCCGAAGTGCCCTCAATCCTGTCTCCCTCCTCCCACCTTTACAGGGGCAGAAGGCAGCCATCAGACCCAACTCCATAGCTGCCCTGGGTCACTGTATTCTGGGGTCTAGTGTTTTGAACCATATGTGACTTTCCTGACAAATTTCCCAGACCCAATCATCTGGGATCATCCCAGACACCTGTTAAAAAATCAGATTCCCAGGCCACATCCTAGACCTAGGGACTCTATCTCCTGAGAGAGAGGCTGGGACCAGGGGCAATCCTTATCAGGCAAGCTTGGTATACAGGGCTCCTGGGCACAAGTGGGAAGAGCTGGGCCTGAATTCCACCGAGCAGCCTGAGGCTGACCCCTTCTGATGCCCAATTCGCAGATTTATCAAAGTAAGAACGCCACTGCAGAGCAAAGAGAACACGGGGCAAGACACTCCCAGAAACTCCAGTATCATATCATTTCCAGTTACAGTATGGAACACTGAATTTCTCTCAAAACCACCTAGAAATCACATGAATTAAAAAAAACAAACAAAACAGGTGAGCTGCAGCTTCCTCCGTCCAGTCTCAGCACCCCCGACGCGATCACCTTCTCCACATGCTGTGCCCCAGTGCTGTCCTTAGGCCAGCATCCCCTGTCCTGGGACAGGCGTTCAGGGCAGCAGGCCTGGACGAGAGGAGCAGCCGCCCAGGCAGCAGGCCAGATTGGTTCCCCACCCCCCACCCCACCCCCGGTCTCCCGACGGCCAAGCCTGGGAGGCCCAGTCGTGCTGGGTTTGCAACAGTTGAGTCTTTTCCCTGGAATGGAGGCTTCATTTCTAAGTCCGTGTACCTTCCCCCAGGAAAGGCAGCCAGTTCTGCAGAGGTAACAGCAAATAGGGGGCCGCCACCAGAAGGGAGGGAGGAGGCCTCCGAGCTTCTTCACCTCCGAGCGGGGGTGTGTGAGTAGCCCCCGCTCACCACAACTAGAGAAAGCCGGTGCACAGCAACAAAGACACAATACAGCCAAAAGTAAATAAATCAAATAAATAATAATAAATTTTTTTTAAAAAGAAATAGAAAAAAACTGGGCAATAAGTACATAGAGGGAAGTTCATTACAACATCCTTTTGCAAGTGTGTGGAATTTTACATTTTACTTTTTTTTTTTTTTTTTTTTTTTTTGCGGTACGCGGGCCTCTCACTGTTGTGGCCTCTCCCGTTGTAGAGCACAGGTTCCGGACGCGTAGGCCCAGCGGCCATGGCCCACAGGCCCAGCCGCTCCACGGCACGTGGGATCCTCCCGGACCGGGGCACGAACCCGCGTCCCCTGCACCAGCAGGCAGACCCTCAACCACCGCGCCACCAGGGAAGCCCTACATTTACTTTTGTTTTTGGTTTTTTTGATCACAGGAGTGACCTGAGGGATGCTTCTCACATTGCCCCTCTTCGTAAGCCTCTGCTTCTCCAGTTGGCATTTTCTGGAATGTCCCCTGTCCCACGGCACTCAGGCCTCCAAGCCTTTGCACAAGCTGCCCCCTCCACCCAACGTGCCACCACACAAAAGAAACTGCTACTCTCGGAACTTCAGCTCCAAGGCTCCGTCCCCAGGAAGCCCTTCCAGCATCCCCCAGACACATTTAACTCACCTTCTCCTCCACTGCTGCCCCAGCTTACCCTCCCCCCGCTCCAGTCTCCAGCCTCATCAGGTGAACTGTACTGGTTTGTTGCTTGCCTGTCTCCTCCCTAGGCCAGGAATGGCTCCTGAACAGGGATCACTTTCTAATGCCCAAGGGAAAGAGCCACTGAACTGGGTGTCAACAAACCATGGCTTCAGAATCATTTGAAGAGCTATTAAAAACGCAGAGCCCGACTCCTCAGAAACTCAGGGAGCAGTCCTAGACATCTGCATTTTAAGCCCAGCAAGGACCCTCAAAATCAGACCCCCCCATTCTGAAATCAGAGAGTGGGGATGGTGGCACAACCTTGTGAATAGATTTTAAAACCACTGCATTATACACTTTAAAAGTAAACTTTGGGACCTCCCTGGGAGCCCAGTGGTTATGACTTCGTGCTTCCATTCATTGCCAGGGGCGTGGGTTCGACCCCTGGTCAGGGAACTAAGATCCTGCATACCACACGGTGCAGCCAAAAATTTTAAAAAACTGAATAAAATAAAATAAAAGTGTAAATTTTATGGTATGTTAACTGTATCTCAGTCAATCAATCAATCAATAATTAGACTGTCCCAGGGACTTCCCTAGTGGCACAGCGGTTAAAAATCCGCCTGCCAATGCAAGGGACACGGGTTCCAGCCCTGGTCTGGGAAGATCCCACATGCTGTGGAGCCACTAAGCCCATGCGCCACAACTACTGAGCCTGCGCTCTAGAGCCCGCGAGCCACACCCACTGAGCCTGTGTGCCACAACTACTGAAGCCCGCACGCCTAGAGCCCGTGCTCCGCAACAAAAGAAGCCACCACAATGAGAAGCCCGCGCACCACAACGAAGAGTAGCCCCCGGTAACCGCAACTAGAGAAAAGGCCACATGCAGCAACAAAGACCCAACACAACCAAAAATTAAAAAATAAATTTATAAAAAATAAAAATTTTTTTTAAATAATTAGACCATCCCAGAGAAAGGGACCTTGATCATGTCCAGGATAGAGCAAGACTCCCCCTCTCTCCTCTCAAGCCAAAAGACCCTCACGATGGGACAAGAGGCCTCACTGGGCAGGGCCCCGACATATGATTCAAGGAACAGAGGGGCCTTTGCGCCAGGACCCCGTAAGACCAAGGTGCCAGACAGCCCCCCCCCACCGCCAAGCACACGCGACTAACGGGAATCTGCTAACACAGCCAGGCTATACCCCCAGGATTCTTCCTGGGGAGCTGGTACTCTCTGGCCCTTCAATCCTACTACCAGCGAACAGGTGGGCCCCACACCTTCCCCCTCAATCAAGGGGCCACTTCCGAGCCAAATCCGCTTCCAATGAAGAACATCTGTCGGCAACCCCAGCCGCCTCCCACGCACTCATGCCGAACCCGCTCCTGCTAGCCGGAGCACGAGCAAGCCCGCAAGGGCTAGGGAATACGCTCGACGGTCTGAGTCCCGGACCACAGGTATAAATACAGGTGCACACAGGTACACAAACAGGTAGCTGGGAATCAACAAAAGGGAAGACCCTAGTCACTGTCCGGATCCCCCATTTCCTGGTCTACAGAGAAAATACCCTGCACCCCATTACAGGAACTCGGTGGGTTTCTCCGTCGGACCCAGATTTGTGGAGCACTGGGGAAGAAATTCTGGGTGAGTCACAAGTCTCCCAGGTGAAATGGATTTTCCTCCACCACCCCCCAAGTCACACAACAAGC